TCACCCAGTTCATACATTGCTGGATAGTTGAGCGCTGGCTGTGCCTGAACCTTGCAGCAAATAAATAATTGAGTTGAATTCTGATAAGGTAGTCGAAGGTCTTTATTGGGTGGGGGTCTTCTTTGTCTTGCAGTAAAATGAATTCTAAACCTTACATAAAGATACTCATATTAAATTTTCTGGAGAGAAAGCGTCAATGGTGTACGCAGCCACTTTTTAGTGGCTTCAAAGATGGGTGCAAAAATAAGGAATTCTGGTGCATGCATACATTTGTGTGTTGATTGTTTACTTTGTTTGTGTGAGACAGGGTGCCCCGTATTCCCAGTTGGCCTGGTACTCCCTATGTACATCAGCAGAGGTCCGCCTGCCTCTGCCTCCTGAGTGCCGTCACGCCCCGCTGCTTACTGTTTTCAGCATGTAAAGTTAGTCTAATGTTCTCCTAGGTCTACTTTGAGTCCTAGTATAGGGGAGACTCATTTGTTTAATACCAGGTCTTTTATTCATCAGAAAGACTTAAAACTCAAAACAAAAACTATGCAGGTGCCTGAAACTAAGAAGTTAGTCATGAGAAAGATACTAGCCTGAGCAGCAAGGGTTGTTTTAACTTACAAGCTAAAAGATCTTACCTGTCCTCCTACTTACATCAATGAGACAAGTATCTCATGGAGTCGGTGAAGTTGTTTTGATTCAAATAACAAGTAGTCTCCTTGGGATACCACACTGCAGGCTTGGAAAGGATTCCTCATCCCCTCTACCCCGACCCCCGTCCTTCCACCATATCCTGAGTGAGTTGCCTTTAGTTGGACTATGGCCTATAACATCGGAACCTGAGTTATCTCATGTTAAGAGTTTGTTCTTCTTGTAGGTTTCCCTAGGAATTAATACACTGTCATGTCATTCTCTTCTGGAACTCTTATTTAGAGCAGAGGACCAGGGTGCTGGGTTTTTTTTTGAGACAGGGTCTCCCTGTAGCCCCAGCTGTCCTGGAACTCACTATGTAGACCAGGCTGGCCTAGAACTCACAGAGATCCGCCTGCTTCTGCCTCCCGAGTGCTGGGATTAAAGGCATGCGTCACCACGCCCAGCTGTTTTTAAGGCTCAGTCTTGTAAAATCAGTCACAGCCCAGCAAGCTAACATAAACATTTTTCCAGAGACTTCTGACTTCTACACCACTGATATTGATGGAGACACCACCTCAGATTACCTGTTCTGTCATATTGCTCAGTGGCTAACTTAGGGATTTTACTCACTGACCCCAGTGGATGATGGTAGGATTATTTTGAAGTGTGTAAGTGAGGGCTGATACCAACTTGGTCAGCAGGTGCATGATGCTGATGGCTATGGCTAAAATCTGCCCACACCATGGAGGTTCCCTACTAACTGATTCCTGGACCAAGATGGATATTGGCTATTCAGTGTTTTGACTGACACCCCCGTTCTTCATATGAATGAATGCACAGCATAACGTATTAGAATTATTCTTGATTATTATATTCTTTCAGTTCACATCTATACATACCACCAGAAAGTATAATAAGGTTTGTTTGGTTATTTTTCCTAATGAGAATTTAAAAACGTTTCATTTTAAAAGATACTTATAAAATGTAACTCTTTTTTCCATATCACAAAACATGTTTTAGGGTACCTATTCAGAGACCTCTGCAGTGTTAGATATATCTCTTGGGGCTTGAGAGATTGGCTCAGCAATTAAAAACACTTGCAGATGACCCAGGTTTGGTTCCCAGCACCATGATGGCTCACATCTGGAACTCCAGTTCCAGGGGATCTGACACCCTCTTCTGGCCTCCATAGGTTCCTGTGTGCACATGATGTACATAAACTTACACAGACTCCCATATACACATATCTTTAATCTTTAAAAAAAGATATGTACATTTCTATCAAAGTTAATTTTATATTTTCCTTTCACTAATATTATTTATTCATCTTAACAGTTCTCTGCTTCTTAGGATCTTGTTCTCTATTTTTACTCTCTTAACAGAAAAATGAGGGTTTTTCATGTGGTTAATCAAAGCAGGAGCCCCCAAATCACAATGTTATCTGGAGCTAGATAAGAGTCAGGAAAACAGAGATGAGCCTGGGTTTAAGCTGCCGCTCATCCCAAGTGGGCTCTAGAAATTTTTACCTTGTTTATTTGCCTTTAGAATTCATAACAATGAATTCATAATGGCAGCAGACCCCACCATTTGTTAACTTGTCTTGGGCAAGGTGTGATGTTTTTTCACACAGTGGCCTTTGTGAGTCAATGTGATGAATTTCTCTTGAGGTTCCTCTGGTTTTGTTGCTACATTGTGTGGTCTGCATGAAGAATTTGGTCAGAGGCTCAATGCCGGCTGGGCCAGTCCCTCTTACATTTTATGGTTTATGAAGCCATGTGTTGTTTATGCTGAGCCATGCCTTTCTTTTTATTGAGCCCTGAATTGTGAAAGGCAGTGGGAGAGGTGTTTGTCAAGGGTATGTGATGGTTTCCTGCAAGCCCTCTGTCCCATATTACCCTAAACATTCTGAAGTGAGACTCAGTGACCTTGGGACAGGACCTCTGGGTCTACGGCACTGTGCATCTGAGTCATGAGAGTGTCACAGGAGCATAGAGGGCTGACATGGGCAGGAACATCAGGGTGCCTGGAGTCCAAGCCTGGGTGTGAAACATTTAGAATAAGAACATGGGAGAGAGCCGGGTGCAGCTTGAGGATTTCACAGTCAGATTGGGCGATGGGAGAACAGACTGGCTGGAGGGAGGGGTGAAGAGAAACCCGTGTGCATGTTAAAGGGAGTAATAAGAGTGGAGATTAGCTTTTTTAAAATTTTATTTATTACTTTTATTTTATGTGTATGTGTGCATTGCCTGCATGTGGGTAAGTGCATCCACGTCTGTGCAATGCCCACAGAGGTCAGAAGAGGCTGTTAGATCCCCTGGGACTGGAGTTACAGACAGTTGTTAGCTGCCATGTGGGTGTTGGGATTTGAACCTGGGTCTTCTGCAAGAACAACCAGTGTTCTTAACTGCTGAGCCACCTTTCTAGCCCCCGAGATTATTTTTGATTGTGGACCAAGAACCTACTTCCTCTGAGGTCCCCAGAATTACTTAGGGAATGAAGAGGTCAATTCAGAGAGGGTTAGGAAACAACCTCAAGGGGCTCCGTTTGGTTGCTACCTATTTATACCATCTTTGTATATTCATTTTAATTTTATATGTATGAGTGCTTTGCACCATGTGTATGCAATGCCACAGAGGTCAGAATGGGGTGTCGGATCCCCTGGAACTGGAGTTATGAATAGTTGTTAGCCGCCAGCCATGTGGGTGCTGGGAACTCAACCCAGGTCTTCTGCAGGAGCAGCCAGTGTTCTTAATCACTGAGCCATCTGTCTAGTCCCTTCTTTGTACTTTTAGTTACTCACTTTCAACAACAACAACAACAAAAAACCCACTGTACATCCTAGAATAATGCCTGTCTCATGGAAGGCACATGGCAAGTGAATTTATGTGATGTGGGAACAGCTCCTCTTACTCAAGGCCTGGGGCTCTGTTTCATGTTTGCCCTGCCCTCCTCCCCGTCTGCCACACAAGCCTCTCAAGTGCCCAGCTTGGTTCTTTGCTTGAGCCTCTTCCTCCTTCTTCCCCTCCAGCTACCATTCAACCATTGTAACACATTTCTTTTCTGTCTTCTCTTCCAAGCCAGGATAGGGAATGTGGATTCTTTGAAGGGACAAATAAGGTTTAAAATACGGCTTATGCCTGTCTGTCCTTCCCTCATGGAATGGTGGATCTCAATGTGCATTTCCCTCTTGGACCTTGACCAAAGCACCAGTGTACCAAATAATTATATCCTGAATTCATTTGGTTTTATTTATTTTTATTTTATGTGCATGAATGTTTTGCCTGTATGTAGGTAAGTGCACCATATATGTGCAATACCCACAGAGGCCAGAAGAGGGCATTTTGTTTTGCCCTGTTAAGTATGCTACTGTTGTTGCAAAGTACAAATTCATTTCCCCCTTTTCGTCATTAACTTGACTCTTCAGTCACTGTTTCTCCTGAAGCATTTGTAAAAGAGCTACAGGTGTCCTTACCTCTCCTGGACCATGTAGGAATCGCATAGCCCAGACCGTGAGACTACCTGGCCCCATGCTCCAGTTTACAGACTGCACTGTTGGGAATCTTTCTCTCTGTTGCCTGGGCCATGCTTGGGATTTCTTCTCTTTTCCCCTCGCCTGCCTCAGAATGAGTTAGGCTATCATTTCAGTTACTTCCTTATTTCCTCCAACTTTCAGTGCTCCTGGTACAAACCAAGAGTTGGTGATCCTCAGTCCATGGTTTCCCAGGGCTCTACTTTGCTTTTCTAGTCATGGTCTTAGACACTCTTAGCTTGGAAAGGTAGGAAAGGTGCTTATTAGCTATTTTCCAGGCTAACTAGAGGTGAGGGGTGGGCTATAGCCCAAGGGTAGAGTGCTTACCTAAAATCTGAGAGTCTGGATTTGAACTCCAGCATTATAAAACGCCTTGGGAAGCTTAAAACCCCACACATTTATTCTCATAGAGAGGTTGGATTTCTAAAGTGAGCCTCAATTGCAGGCCACACTTGGTCTGAAGTTCTAAGGGAGAATCCACTCTCCTTGGCTCCCCGCTCCCTCTTCATCTTCCAAGGCAGCAGCATAGCACCTCCTACCCTTTCTGTCTCTGTTGCCACCTTTGCAGCTCTGCTGATCTTGACTTTCTTACCCCCCTCTTCTCCATAAACAAAGCCCTTGTGATTTCAGTGAGCCCAGCTAGGTAAGAGTTTGCATCTCAAGATCAAAGACTGGGTCCCATCTGTGAAGTCCCTTTTACCACATGAGGGAATATATTCCCAGGTTGCATTAACTTGGTTTCGGTGTCTTGTAGAAGGAGACATAATCAAAGACATCACCCTGTCACATTGGTACTCGTCTATACCGCAAATATCTAAGGATGCTTTCTAATTCCTCGCTTTATTTCCAGATGCAGAGAGAAGTTATTTATGCACGAGGAGACGGCCCCGGTGCCTCCCGACCTGGATCCACAGCTCATCCGCCCCACGCAGGTCCAAACTCCCCGCCCTCCACGCCTGTGCCGCATTCCCTGCCTCCCTCCCCATCCAGAATCCCTTACGGGGGCGGACGGCCCATGGTTCTTCCTGGCAACGCCACCATCCCCAGGGACAGACTCTCCAGCCTGCCTGTCTCAAGGTCCATCTCGCCAAGTCCCAGTGCCATTTTGGAAAGAAGAGACGTCAAACCAGATGAGGACATGAGCAGCAAAAACCTAGCGATGTACCGAAATGAGGGTTTCTATGCTGACCCTTACCTCTACCACGAGGGACGCATGAGCATCGCCTCGGCCCACGGCGGCCACCCCCTGGATGTCCCGGACCACGTCATCGCCTACCACCGCACTGCCGTCCGGTCAGCCAGCGCCTACTGCAACCCTTCCCTGCAGGCAGATGTGCACTTGGAGCAGTCACTGTACAGGAAATCCAGGAAGTACCCGGACAGTCACCTGCCTACCCTGGGGTCCAAAACGCCCCCCGCCTCCCCGCACCGCGTGGGCGACCTGAGGTTGCTGGACACCATCCCACACCCCAGCGCCCATGGTCCCCCGCATGCCCTGCAGCCAGGGGCTTCGCCCAGCCGCCAGGCCTTCAAGAAGGAGCCCGGTACCCTGGTGTACATCGAAAAGCCGAGGAATCCCCCAGGATTATCCGGCCTGGTGGACCTCGGGCCTCCTCTAGTGGAGAAGCAAGTTTTTGCCTATAGCACTGCTACAATCCCTAAAGACAGAGAAACCAGGTAAGGGAGAGGGGTGCCTGAGGGTATATGCGTGCTGCTTTCCAGGGCTCAAGTCAGGGAGCAAACCCTGAGCCTTGGAAAAGCTTCTCTGCAGTTACTGGACCGGTGGGGTCAGAGAGGTCCACCAGTGTCTGCAGGAAAGGAGACAGGTGTGCCCACCAGGCCATCAGCCCTGCTGGGTGGTGTGGGGGCACTTGCCTTTAATCCCAGGACTTGGGAGGCAGAGGCAGATCTGTGTGAGAGTGAGGCCAGCCTGGTCTACACAGCGAGTTCCAGGCCAGCTGGGGCTACAGGGAGACCCAGTCTCAAAAAAAAAGAAAAAAAAATCAAACCCCAAAACAACCATCAATCCTAGCTGTCTCTGGACTCTGATCTTCACAGAGCTCTCAGTAACCTAGCTCCCAGCCATCTGGGAAGGAAATGGTGACTAACAGAAACCATGCAGGCAAATAGATCATGAGATCGTAATAATTAGATCACAAGATCATAATAATTATCTGTCACAGAAGATACAAGGAGCAGTTAACTGTTTGCAATGGTCATGCATATTTTCTCTTTAGAATGCACTTTTATTTTCTCACCTAGTTGGAGAAAAGAGAAAGAATGCCATTTATGTCTCCCAGGATGATAAAATATGAGTTTGTACATGGGCTCCGCATGGGATGGTTTGGAGTTAATATTCAATTGAGAGTAGAAGTGGAATCTGCAGTTTTTCTACTGAATGAAACACTCTGAGTATTCAAAAAATTCACACACACACACACACACACACACACACACACACACACACACATTGAACAAAAGTTAGCACATATGATTTGTTACCAGAATCTGTGTTCCCTGTAATTTGTGTACATACTTTTTTGGTTAGCATTAAATTTCTTAAAATCGTTATTGACATAAAACTCAAGTCAAAAAAAATTGAAGCACAAAGAGCCATTTACGTTTTTCACATGGGAATTCAGAAAGGACAGAAAATAGGAATCAGATACTCTACTGCTCAGGACCCTCTTAGAACCACTGGTGTTATCTCTCACTGTTGTAGAGCCTTATAAGACCGAACTTGTAAATGGAATGGGGACCGTCTTTCTTACTTACTTTTTGCACACACAAGCCAGTCAAAAGCCCTGACACTTCTAGTTGTCTTTATTTGTTCAATTGTGAGGAATCTCGCAGTGCAGATATTTCTTTCAGGTGAATGAATGACAGTGAATATGAACATTTTGGGGTCATTAGTGCAATCACAAACTCTCACACAGTTAGAAAAGCAGCAGCAGTGACGAGCTTGTAGATGTGGAATGAACAAAAGTCAAGGGCTAAAAGAGTATTCATTGTCTTCTTCCCAGAGTCCTAAGAAAGTGACATTTTGAGACTCAGCGGAGGGGACCCTTCTCATAACCATAACAACCAAGAGGTGCAGGACACACACTGTAGTGCTCTGGATCAGACCAATGTCTCACCAGAGAGGTCTCTACCAAGATTTACACAGGCTTGGAGTTTCTGCTGAGCACTGCAGAAATGTGACAGGTACATTCCCTGAAAAGGGCTGCAAGGTACAGATTGGGAAATGGTGTGTCTCTGAGAATCTGGGAATTAGAAGCACAAGAATTTAATGCAGGGGGGTAAAGAAAGTCCACCTCCAGGGCATAAGGCTGAAAACCTGAATCCATCCTTCCTACCATCCCACCACCCTATCATCCCATCATCCTACCATCTCACCATTTTATGATCTCAGCATCCTACCATCCTTACCATCCCACCATCCCACCATCCTACCATATCACTGTCCCACCATCCTACCATCCCACTGTCCTACCATCTCACCATCCCACCGTCCTACCATATCACTGTCCCACCATCCTACCATCCCACTGTCCTACCATCTCACCATCCCACCGTCCTACCATATCACTGTCCCACCGTCCTACCATCTCACCATCCCACCATCTCACCATCCCACCATCCCACCATCTCACCATCCCACCATGCCACCATTTCACCATCCCACCATCTCACCGTTTCACCATCCCACCATCTCACCATCCCACCATCCCACCATTCCACCATCCTGCCATTCCACCATATCACCATCCCACCATCCTACCATCCCATCATCTCACCGTCCGATTCCACCATCTCACCATTCCACCATCCCGCCATCCCACCATCTCACCATCCTGCCATCCCACCATCTCACCATCCTGCCATCCCACCATCCTGCCATCTCACCATCCCACCATCTCACCATTCCACCATCCCGCCATCCCACCATCCTGCCATCCCACCATCCTGCCATCTCACCATCCCACTGTCCCACCGCCCCACCACTGTTTCATGCAGACCTACCTTGAAGGTAGCAGAGGACTTTTATTACCACTATCATATGACACTGCTCCCACCCCAGGTTCTGGGTACATGTTGGTCAACTGAGTGGTATCATCCTCCTTCCCGGTGCCTAGTGTTGTATCATCTTTGCAGGCACCACACATGCCCAGCCCACAAACATCACTCAACCCCATTTGTCAAGGGATTTGGTTATAGGTGTGATGGAGCACTTCTATAATCACATCATTCCAAAGGCTGAGGCAGGAGTATTGCTGCAAGTTTAAGGTCAGCCTGTGCAATCCCATCTAAAATACCATCAGCAAACAAATGGAGCCCTGGAGCCCTTGAGAATGCACACAGTGTTCCCTACATGGCTCCCCAACCAGCACCTTGAAGGGTATTCAATGTCTGTGCCAGTGTCTTGTAGGACCCCCCCCCCCAAACTCCCTTGTCACCAGGCATGGTGCAATATCTTCACTCCCAACCCTTTGGAGACAAGAGGCAGGTCGAACTCTGAGTTTGAGGCCAGCTTGGTCTACGTGTGAGTTCCAGGCCAGTCAGGGCTACATAGTGAGGCTCGTTTATTTTTTTTAAAAAAAAAGGGGGGGGGATTTTTCAACCTCAATATGACTTCATTTTACCAGTTCTTTCGATTTCTGTTTTACATGCTAGGAAACCTCTTTAGAAAAGTCAAAAGATGTCCTGTCAATGAACAGAAAATAGTGGGAAAATTGACTCCTGGGAGACTAGCACTCACCTAAACGCAGCGTCACTGTCACCATCATTTCTGGCAGATGTTGATTACATACACGATTTTACATTTTCCCATTCTTTCCTTCCCCAAAATGTGAAATAGCAAAGGAAGCTTTATCTCACATCCTGCCTTGGTGAATCCTGACCTGTTAATTAACTTATCTCTAGTGGGTAAAACTGGAGTGCTTGTGTATATGTGGGCTGGTTAGTGCTGTATACACACATACATCCCTTCCACATACCTAACATTACACGCAGACACACACACCAGATACACAAGCACATGTGTAAACTACATGCACTCCTACACACACTACACACAGCAGAGACATTATAGACATAGACACCTCATATATGCACGTGTACACATGTACCACACAGATGTCTAGAGACACATGCACAAATTTAAACACACACGTCACCATCACAGACATGTGCACATTCACATATACACACAGGGACATACATCCACATAGAGACATGCATACCCCACACACCACAGACATACATACCATACAGACACACTTATATACGTACATACACCATATGAACACACAGAGACACAGCCCAGGACTTCACAGACACAAACACACTCTACATTTAGAGCCTCTGTTAATGAAAGACTTCTTCCCTGTCCTCACTGATTTGGCCCAGGCACAGGACAACAGTGAATAGTGAGTCTCTCCCAGAAAGAACTTGAGTCTGAAACTTTTGCTCTCAGCCCTCTTGCCTGTCTCCCCAATGTCACCTAAACAGGTAATAATGGGGTGGGGGGACAGCAGGAGTGAGATGTGTGGGCTCATGCAACACCCTCCAACAGTAGTTCAAATCTGACACTGAATGGGGAGCACAGAACTTGCCTGAAATCAGCTCTGTGCGTCCGTGGCAGCTGTCACCCACAGCTTGAGTAGTCTCCGTATATTATGAAGTAGAATTGTCAGGACAGCCATGAAGATATGTGCTCCATCCCCATTTTACAGATGCAGAAACCTAGGCACAGAGAGGGTAAGTAGATTTCCTAAGAGCACAAAGCCACTGTTATAAAATGTCTAGGTCCAATAAAAGGTCTGTATCTTTTGCCAGTCCTGGTGACATGCACCTGCAATCTCAATACTTTAGGTTCCGAGAGAGGAGAATTGCAAGTTCAAAGCCAGATGGTTAGAACATGAGGCTCCATCTCAAATAATGAGGAAGTAGGGGTGTGGTTCAGTAGTAGAACACTTGCTTGGCATGTACATGGCTCCAGGTTCCACCCCCAGCATGAGAGAGAAAGAGATCCTGTTGTTTACTGGTGTGTGGTCCCCTTCAAGTGCCCACCTTCCCAAAGATTAGAAGGAAAGTAAGCAGAGAATTCTGAGCACTCCAAGAATCTTGCAGAAAAAAAAAAAAGAAAAGAAAAAATCGGTTTCAGGACTAGATGCTAAGTAACTGTTCCCAAAGGACATTTATAATCATAAACATGGCAGAATTTGCATAATTATGCTGCTAAATATATACATGCCATTTAAAATATAACTGCCCTAGCTAGTATATTAGCACAATTACACAGAAATAGGGGAAGGGAGACAAGAATATTCCTGGTGGATTTTATTTTCAAAAAATGCATCTGAGTACTCTGTCATAGAAAAAAGTTTAAAACACAAACACCAGAAGCAATCACCAAAGCCTAAAATTATAACCTACTGTCTCACTAGCCCATGACGTTATTTTAAAAATATTTAATCGGGGTAAGTATTTTTAAAGAGTGTTCGACCCCTTACATCTAACTTCATGAGTACAGGATATAAAGTGGCAAACCAATTTCTGTTGCAATTTCATCATATTAAGAAGCAAATAGACGAAGAGTGCTTTTTCTATGAGACTCTCAAAATGAAATTCTACATCTAAAATGTGAGCTGACAAAACACAGGGGGCCAAGCATC